TGGCTGTTTAGGCATCACCTCCTTTTACGGATTGAATTGACATTTGACAGTTTGGGAATTCTTGTTTTTATAGGAAAAAATCTGAATTGTAAACTATTGACTCTGCTTTGGAAAAACAAATTTCTAAAACAAACTTTGTTTATTAGTTGGGAGTTATATATATGTTGCATATTTATGTATATATGTATATTTATATTTTACCAAAAAGGAAAGAGTTTAAATTTTCTTAATCTGGTAAAATAGATACAACTTTGAATGGGGGTAAAACAACATTACACCCCACACTGCAAACAAAATTATCAGAAAATTCATGGTCATTTAACTTCCTTATCTAACTACTAAGAATGCTTTTCATTGTGTTTTAGATCTCTAATTATATGACAAATAATACTGCTTCTGAATAGAAGTCCTCCTATAGGCCGGGCCTGGTGGCTCACGCCTGTAATCCCAACACTTTGGAAACTGAGGCGGGCGGATCACCTGAGGTCAGAAACTACCTGACTGAGGTGGGTGGATCACTTGAAGTCAGGAGTTCAAGACCATCCTGGCCACCATGGTGAAACCCTGTCTCTACTAAAAACACAAAAATTGGCTGAGCATGGTGGTGCACGCCTGTAATCCCAGTTACTCAGGAGGCTGAGGCAGGAGAATCACTTGAACCCAGGAGGCAGAGGTTGCCATGAGCCAAGATTGCGTCACTGCACTCTAGCCTGGGCAACACAGCGAGACTCCATCTCAAAATATAAAATAAAATCATATATCACCTTTCTGTAGCTTCTCATATCAGAGTAAAAGCTAAAATACTTGTAATGGCCTACAAGAGAGCTGAAAGGGATAATGTCTGAAATGAAAAATTCAATGGATGGACTTACACTGAACTTAAAGACATGGCAGTACAAATTACCCAGAGTGGAGCACAGAGAGGAAAATGACTGAAAAGGAACTGAGCCTCTGGGACCTGTGGGATAATGTCAGGCGGTCTAACAGACGAGAGGGAGAAAAAATATTTAAGAAACATTTTTCCCAACTTTTTAAAGAAATTTTTACAAATTCATTGAAAACTATAAACCTACAAATACTATAAACACAACAAACTGTACACCAGGATAAACAAAGAGAAAACTATACCAAGGCACATCAGAATCAAATTGCTGAAAATCAGTGATGAAGATAACATTTAAAAAGCTGCTAGAGCCGGGCGCAGTGGCTCACACCTGTAATCCCAGCACTTTGGGAGGCTGAGGCAGGCGGATCACAAGATCAGGAGATCGAGACCATCCTGGCTAACACGGTGAAACCCCTTCTCTACTAAAAATACAAAAAATTAGCCGGGTGTGGTGGCGGGCGCCTGTAGTCCCAGCTACTCGGGAGGCTGAGGCAGGGGAATGGCGTGAACCCAGGAGGTGGAGCTTGCAGTGAGCCAAGATTGCGCCACTGCACTCCAGCCTGGGCGAGAGTGCGAGACTCCGTCTCAAAAACAAAAAAAGCAGCTAGAGGGGGGGAAAAAAAGGCATATTACATACCTGAACCCAAGAGTTCAAGACCAGCCTAGGCAACAAAGTGAGACCCTGTCTTTACAAAAGATTTAAAAATTAGGGCTGGGTGTGGTGGCTCATGCCTGTAATCCCAGCACTTTGGGAGGTGGAGGCAGGCGGATCACGAAGTCAGCAGATCGAGACCATCCTGGCTAACACAGTGAAACCTGTCTCTACTAAAAATACAAAAAAATTAGTCAGGCATGGTGGCGGGCGCCTGTAGTCCCAGCTACCCAGGAGGCTGAGGGCAGGAGAATGTTGCGAACCCAGGAGGCAGAGGTTGCAGTGAGCAGAGATCGTGCCACTGTACTCCAGCCTGGACGACAGAGCAAGACTCTGTCTCAAAAATAAATAAGTAAATAAATATTAGCCAGGTGTGGGGATGCACACCTGTAGCCCCAGCTACTCTGGAGACTGAGGCAGGAGGATCGCTTGAGCCCAGGAGGTTAAGGCTGCAGTGATCCATGATTGCACCATGGCACTCCAGCCTGGGCAACAGAGCAAGACTCTGCCTAAAGAAAAGACATGTTACGTACAAGGAAACAAAGATAAGAAGAACTGTTGATTTCTCATTAACTCTTTTCCTGTTAAGAAAAAAAGTACAGCTCGCTGCCAGTGCACCTTTAATTTTACATAAACACACTCTTTGAGGCTGAAGCAAAGCTGACTGATTTTCAATGTGAAAATAAAATATACAAACTGTTTTTGGAGTTATTTCTAAACAGAACTAACATCAGAATCATCTGAGTCATCAGAATCATCTATTTTGGAAAAAAAGTTGATTCATTAAATGAATCTTCAGCCAACCATTCGAGAATGATGTTAATAATTAACATCAGCCGGTCACAGTGGCTCATACCTGTAATCCCAGCACTCTGGGAGGCTGAAGTGGGTGGATCATGAGGTCAAGAGATCGAGACCATCCTGGGCAACGTGGTGAAACCCCATCTCTACTAAAAGTACAAAAAATTAGCTGAGTATGGTGGCGCGCGCTTGTAGTCCCAGCTACTTGGGAGGCTGAGGCAGGAGAATTGCTTGAACCCAGAAGGCGGAGATTGCAGTGAGCCGAGATTGCACCACTGCACTCTAGCCTGGCAACAGAGTGAGACTCCATCTCAAAAATAATAATAATAATAGTAATAATAATAAACATCATGCATAGGAATGCTATGCTTTCTACGCTTTGGCATTTTCAGCAATCGAGAATTACTGTATTTTGTAAATGGAAATTCCACTACTAAGAACAGAATGCTATAAATAGAATGATGTCTTTTCTTTCCAAAGTCAGTATACTAGAGTGATGAGATAATAATAATAAAAGCAAGATATTTCATGGCAAAGTTATCTCAGGGTAAATGCTGTATCTGCAAGCGCTGCCGGTGAGTATTCTCGGGACAAATGGGAAAAGGGTTAAAAGCAATGTAACACAGAAGAAAACAGAATGGTACCTTGAAAGCACTGAGAGGACTTATTTTTCTTCATTCTGAAATATACAGATTTTCTACCTTTTTCCACTGAGAAGGCCTAGAATCGTTGAGCCTAGAACCATGGGCACCCTAGCGTCCTGACTGTGGTCCCTAAATACTTTTTGCCAGTAAACGGAACAAGGGATCCTTAGAAGGATGGTTCATTCCAAGTCTGGGACAAGATACATAACAAACAAAAGTAGAGGGCTGGGCACAGTGCCTCACACCTGTATTCTCAGCACACTGGGAGACCGAGGTAGGTGGATCGCCTAAGGTCAGGAGTTCGAGACCAGCCTGGCCAACATGGTGAAACCCCTTCTCTACTAAAAATACAAAAATTAGCCGGGCGTGGTGGCACGTGCCTGTAATCCCAGCTACACGGGAGACTGAGGCAGGAGAATCACTTGAACTCGGGAGGCGGAGGTTGCAGTGAGCTGAGATTGCACCACTGTACTCCAGCCTGGGTGACAGAGTGATACTCCGTCTCAAAAAAAAAAGAAAAAAATAATAAAACCTAGAGCATTTTATCGTGCTAGAAAGCAGGAAAGCTAATAAGGTCTAATGGATATATCAAAAGAACACAAGAGCCTACAACAGGAGCTTCCACTGGCCAAAGGTAGGACAGTTTGAGCCTTAGAAAGATGACTAGGGCCGGGCGCAGTGACTCACATCTGTAATCCCAGCACTTTGAGAAGCTGAAGCAGGGAGATCACTTGAGGTCAGGAGTCCAAGACCAGCCTGGCCAACATGGCAAAACCCCTTCTCTACTAAAAATACAAAAATTAACTGGTGGTACGCGCCTGTCATCCCAGCTACTTGGGAGGCTGAGGTAGGAGAATCACCTGAACCCAGGAGGCGGAGGTTGCAGTGAGCCAATATCGTGCCATCACACTCCAGCCTGGGAGACAGAGTGAGACTCCGTCTCAAAAAAAAAAAAAAAACCAGAAATGTATCATTCAAATACAAACATAAAAGAAACCTACCAGCCAAATGCAAAGTGGGGACTTTGGATCTTGACTTTAATGTAAATGGACATTTTTTAAGATTTGAGGAAATTGGCAGATGGACTGGGATACTAAAATATTTTTGTCTATGTTTTTAGGTGTGATAATGGTGTTAGGTTGTGTGAAGTGTTTTTACTGTCTGATAGATGTACAGGTTCAAGTATTCCCAGATGAAGTAATTGCCTGGGGTTTGCTTTTAGCCACACATCCCTGCACAAAAAGTGGGAGGAATGAAAATTCGATTAGGTAACATTGACAGAATGTTGATATTCATTCAAGTTTTGCTGTGGGTACCTGAGGGGTAGTCATTACGTTACTCTATTTTATGCAAGTTTTAATATTTCTGTACTAAAAATTTAGAAGACCATGTGCTTAAGGACCTTTCACATATCTGTAAAAGAGAGCCTCACTCAGAATATATAGTGTTGCCTTACAATTAGGTGCAGTTCTGTTGAGTTTGGGATGGGTACCAGTTTTATGGGAGAAACAAACTGATGCTAAAGGCAGTATCCTTATAGAAATAAAAATGTTTTAATTGGCAACATGAAGTAACACTGAAAATTCTTAGATGCACACAAAAGCTTATAAAAGCATAACACTAGGGGGTCACATAGTAATATTTAGTAGACTGGCTGTGCCTCAGTTGTCTTGCCAGAGGGCATCCTCTAAAAAATTCATCATCACAGAGCGCAGCACCTGGACAAAAGTGGTACACGCGGCTCCTCTGCCCACTCAACAAGTCCTTCCCAAGGGCTGTCATGTCAGTGCCAGAGCCGCCCCTGAAGGACTGCTTTTGTTTCGAGGATTTGAGAGATGGATTCCTGAGGATCTAACACCATATTCCATTATGCATTATGGGTTTTTTATTGTTTTCCTTATCATGATTTATTATTTTTTAAATTTTTCTTTGAAGTTTGCTCATTTTAATCCATGTTCATTTCTCCCTCTGTGTGTGTTTGTGTCACGCTTGCTGTCTTTGCCTCCATTGTTCCTAGGTTACAGTATAGCCAGGATATACCCTGTCACTTGGCCGATGAGCATGCGCTGATAGCCTCCTATGTGGCCCGTCTGCAGCACTGTGCACGGTCAGTGGTGGTGCAGCAGCAGTGGGCAACCAGGGGTGATCAGAGGGAGGGAGAGCTTTGCCACCTGGGGTTGTCAGCTGGAAAAATAACTGCATGTAGGGTTTTTCTTGAGAAACTACGAGCTGTGTTTGGCAGAGTTAAAATAGTTGCTAAGCATTCGCTTCTACAAGAGAGGGAGGGTTGCCAAGCCTGGGCGCTTACCTAAACATGGAGTCAGACATTCTCCTTTAAAGTGGGGTTCACTTCCTTCAACTTACACTCAAAAAAGATACAAACCTATGAGAGGTCGACATTTCCAAAGATGCAGTATTCACAGGGGTATGTGATGCAGCCTCTTCCTGTTCATTCTTACCTGAATAATGAAATCTTTGTATTAACATTCAAAGTTTAGAGTTGATCAGCCCACAGATATCCTGCTTTGTCTTATCTGGGGACTTTGATACTGTCACCCTATTACATCTTTACCACCCTTTATCTGTTAGCAGGAATCTGTCATTGTTGATTATTTAAACCAGTGATTCCCAACAATGGTATTGGATCACTGTCACCTGAGGGTCTTTTTCCAAATTATATAGACCCTCTCTATTGTAATACTTACACGTATTATAATAGCTCCACATTCCCCTTACGCTGAAAACTACTACAGTAGTGACTCATTGTTAATAAGAGAATGTGTCTGATTCTTCAGTGGTTCGGGATGGAAAAACGTTTGATAACTGCTAACTATAGCAAAGTTCATCCTTTTTTAGAAAGATTTAGTACCGAAAAAAATGGTATTATGTTCAGGTAGGACCAAAGTCTCCTGCCCACTCCATGCCCACACCCACCACCATTCTTCAAGTAGGAGGACAGGTAAAGTTTAAACAATCTAAAGCCATCCTTCCCCTATGTAACAGCAAAGAAGAGTCACAAGGCCAAACAACTTGGAAAGCCATGCTTTGAGATTCTTATTCTTAGAGAGAAAACCATAATTTATAAGCTATACACATAACAGAGGCTGAAGCTTTAAATTTTGATCTTAGTTTTGCTTACAGCATGCCTTGGCTCCTTGGGAGGGTCATCTGACCTTGCTGCTACTCCCCATAATAATAGAAGAATAAATTAATAGTCAGTCGGGAAATATACATATGAAAAAGACTGTTTTTAATATTATACTTTATACCGTTTTCCACAGTTTTCCTGATATGACTAAATAGCATCATTTTTCTGGGGTATTTATGTATCTCTAAAGCTTGGAGAAGTAGGGTTTTCTAACCTTCTAAGTATGTTTAATAGGCTTACCCTCTAAAAGGGAAGGAGGGGCCTGATAATTGTGTGCGCTGCATCACAAAGTGTCTTCTCATCCAACAGGTGATTTCTTCGCACACTGTCCCAACTTCTTGGTCTCTAGGAATAGAGTTGTTTCACCTTAGGCAAGACAAATTCTTTATTATCAGTAAAGGCAATTGTCCAGAGTGAGCAAAAGTTTCCATGGTAAAAATAGCAGCAGAATGTTTGACAGAGACTGTTACCTAGTAATTTAGCCCAATCAGATTTATGGTAGGTTTAGCTAAGGCCCTCAAGTCTCACCTCGGCTCCCTGAGCAAAAATTGGTGGCTGGTAGCCTTGGGAGAACATGACGAGTGAGTGAGTACTGCCTGATTTCTTGATTAGTAATCTAAGAAACTGAGCTTCATACTTCTTCCGAGAAGTCAGAACTTTCCTGGCTAACTAATTCTGAAAATGAAAGTCAATTCGAACAGAAGAATAAGGATCCTTTCTAATTGCCCTCAAATAATTTTCATTGACCTTAAAACCTCTCATCAACACAAGCTTCTAGTTTCTGGCTAGAAAACATAGCCAATTAAAGCAGTCTGTCATCCACACTCATGTATAAATGACAAATAGGATCAGCCTTCCTAAGGAGATAGAATGTGATTGAGAAAAAGGAGCTCTTTTGCACAGAAGAATCTATTGTATCCCTTGCCAGATAACAGAGGTCAGCAACTTTAGGCCCCACTTCTTAGGCTTCCAATCCCTCCATAATATGATCCACTTGTATTCTTAAGCATCCATTTTTATTGTTTTTTTTTTTTTTTAATTTAAAAGATAGTTCTCTTATTTCACACAAATACCTTTAAAGCACAAATATTACAGTTTATCTCTCACCTTGGGGCCTTGACCCTAAGATATTAAAGCCGCCTGATAGTAGTCTGTTCTTATTACAAGATCATTTTTCAGAGGATGATTATCCCGGAGATGGATATTTGCATGCTTAAAATTATAAAGTGTTGACAAATGTCATAGGCAGAAGACTCAAAGCACTTTAAAAAAATCCTAGAAGAAAGACTAAGTTAAGCTTAAAGACTTAGCCAAAGAGATAGAAAGATTTTAAAAAAAGCAAAAACTAGAAAAAATATAGTTGATTCTACACATGAAAATTTCAGACAGATCTTTATTGATTTAGCCGCACCCTTCCCAGATTCCCCTCAGTAATTATAACAAACTTCGATGAGTATTGAAGTCATGACTTTAAATTTTTCTATATGACTTGTCATACTGCTAAATTCTGATCAGGGGTTTTTGGAAACCCGAGAACATAGGGCCAAAGTGGAGGTAAGCCACAACAGCCACCTCCAGTCATTTAGTCAACATCATCACTGTTGTCTTAAAGCATCTGCCAGTCCTAAACAGAGAATTATATAGCCACAGTCCCTATTAATCTGGGACTGTCTTGATAAGGATAAATAGCGTTTGATATACTAAATTAAAGAAGTCATGTATTTCAGAATCCAAAGTTTCATATCAGCATCCCATATGCAGAGCCAGCCTATTACTCAAGAACCCTTCCCTCATCCAGATACCACATTATCTGATAACCTGTCTGAATGGGTCCTTAGATTTTTTAGAGTGTTGGTACTGTTGTTAAAGAGTAATGCATTAAACTAATTAACTCCAAGATGGGGCTATAGATGTAGAATGAGCATAGTAAAGGAAGAGAAAGGGGCACGAAAAGGGGAATATTTGATGTCATGGAATCTTTCCAGCTTTACAGTGTGTTTGGCCTGCCCTGACAAGGCCAAACTTTTGCTTAGCCAGTGTTAAGTTTATTTTTTCTCAGCCCTCTATTTTTCATAATGCTCTTGGTCTTTTTGAATTTGAGATCAAGGTCTAAAAAGTCATCAGTTTTAAACATTTGGTTAGAAATCCCTGTCTCAGACTTTGTGGGTGCCCTGTGTTTTCTTAGCCCTTGTATTCAAAATTAAGTGCCCCTTTGATGGTGGGGGAGCAGCGGGGATGTGCTGCCAATGAGGAATGACAAATGTGGCCTCCTCGTTTCTCTAAATCCCCTTTTTTCTCAGAAGGCCATTAGTATCTATGACCCAGACCTCTAGTTCTTTTATTACCATTCTTTTATGAGCTTTTCTTCCATCTGTTCTAAGAATGGAACAAGAATAAGGGATGTTTAATAGACACCTGTTGCATTTTTATTTCCTTGGCAGTGTTCTGGACAGTCCTAGCCGACTGGATGAGGAACACCGTCTTATAGCTCGATATGCTGCCCGGCTGGCTGCAGAAGCAGGAAACGTGGTAAGTTAATGGAGGATCCCAGGAAAGTAGCAGAAATTAGCATTACTTTAATATACAAATGGAAAGGGAATAGTAGACATGAAATTTAGGAGAACAGGTACCTCAGGGACAAAAGGAAGGGGAGTGTTTAGGGAGGAGATTGAAGGGGCCCTTAATTTTATCTAAATGTTCTCTTTATTTGAAAAATAAACCCACGCCTGTAATCCCAGCACTTTGGGAGGCCGAGGAGGGCGGATCATGAGGTCAGGAGATCGAGACCATCCTGGGTAACACAGTGAAGCACCATCTCTACTAAAAAAAATACAAAAAAAATTAGTTGGGCGTGGTGGCAGGCGCCTGTAGTCACAGCTACCTGGGAGGCTGAGGCAGGAATGGCTTGAACCCAGGAGGCGGAGCTTGCAGTGAGCCGAGATCACACCACTGCTCTCCAGCCTGGGTGACAGAGCGAGACTCCATCTCAAAAAAAAAAAAAAAATCAAGAAGAGAAAATCAAAGAGCCAGAATTTCATTCTTTTAAGATATCAATAAAATTAATAAATGCAACAATACTCATCAAGTAAACAGGATAAAACACTAATTACTAATGTCAGGAATGGAAAAAGAGACATTGCTGTAGATCCCACAGACATTAAAAGAATGATAAGGGAATATGATGAACAACTTTTTCCCAGTAAGATTAACAACCTAGATAAAATAGATAAATTCCTTGAAAGACGCAAATTAATAAAACTGACACAGGAACAAATAAAAAAATCAAATATTCCTATGTCAGTTAAAGAAGTTGAATTCATAATTAACTTCCCACAAAGAAAACCCCAAGCTTGGCCAGGCGCAGTGGCTCACGCCTGTAATCCCAGCACTTTGGGAGGTCGTGGCGGGTGGATCACGAGGTCAGGAGTTCAAGACCAGCCTGGCCAACATGGTGAAACCCCGTCTCTACTAAAAATACAAAAATTAGCTGGGCGTGGTAGCAGGCTCCTATAATCCCAGCTACTCGGGTGGCTGAGGCATGAGAATCACTTGAACCCAGGAGGTGGAGGTTGCAGTGAGCCGAGATGGAGCTACTATACTGGGATAGAGCGAGACTCGGTCTCAAAAAAAAAAAAAAAAAGAAAAAAGAAAACCCCAAGCTCAGATACTTAAGGAAGAAATAATGTCAATTTAATGCAAACTCTTTCAGAAAATACAGCAAGAAGGAACACTTTACAAGTCATTTTATGAGGCCACTATAACCTAATAAAAAAACAATACAGAGGCATTACAGGCAAAGAAAATTGCTGGCCAAATTCTCTCATGAACTAGATACAAAAATCCTTAACAAAATATTAGCAAATTGAATCTAGCAATATATAAAAAGGATGATACTCCATGATAAAGTGAGATTTATCCTAGAAATGCAAATGTATTTAATATATAAAAATCAATGTAATTCACCACATTAACAGTTAAAAGATAAAAATTATAAGATCATTCAATAGATGTAGAAAAAGCATTTGAAAAAATACAGCACTTATTTATGATAAAACTTTTCCACATGCTAAGAATAGAAGGAAACTTCCTCACCCTGATAAAGAACAGCTACAAAAACCTGCAGTTAAGATCACATTTACAGTTTAAATTTTGAAATATTTCCCCCTAATATTGGGAACAATTCAGAGATATCCATTTTTACCACCTCTATTCTACATTATACTGGAGGACCTAATTAATGCAACATGACAAGAAGAAAGGGGTATAAATATTGGAAAGACAGAAATAAAGCAGTCTTTATTTGATGACATGATTATGCATATGAAGTCCTAAGAAGTCTAAAAAAACACTAGTAGAACAGGTAAGTAAATTTTATAGTATTGCTACAAGATATAAAGTGTATATCCCAGCACCTTGGGAGGCTGAGGTGGGCAGAGCACTTGAGCTCAGGAGTTTGAGACCACCCTTTGGCAGCATAGCGAAACCCTGTCTCTATAAAAATATATATATATATATATACACACAAAAATTAGCTGGACGTGGTGGCACGCACCTGTAGTCCCAGATGCTAGGAAGGCTGAGGTGGGAAGATCAGTTGAGCCTGGAGGTCAAGGCTGCAGTGAGCCATGATTGTTCCACTGCACTTCAGCCTGGGCAACAGAGCAAGACCCTGTCTCACAAAAAGAAAAATACTATTTACTGTAGCATTAAAAATACCAAGTACTTATGGATAAATTTAATGAAAGATGTTCAAGACTGAAAACTGTAAAACGTTACTAAAAGAAATTAAAGAAAACCTAAATAAATGAAAAGGTATGCCATATTTATGGATTAAAAGATTAATATTGTTAGGATGGCAGCTTTTCCTAAATTGATCTGTAGATTTAATACCAATTCACATCTCAGCAGGCTTTTTTATAGAAATTAGCAAACTGTTTTTAAGATATATTTGGAGAACCAAAGGACCTAGAATAACCATAACAGTCTTGAAAAAGAATGACAAAGTTGGCAGACTTAATCCTACTTGACATTAAGACTTACTATAAAGCTATAGTAATCAAGAAAGTAAGATATTGTCAAAAGGATGAACAAATAAAGGAATAGAATAGAGTATCCATAAAAGAGACTCATGTGTAAGGTCAGATGACTTTGAGCAAAGGTAAGAAGCAAATCTGTCAGAAAAGGAAACTCTTTCTATTTTTAACAAATGCTGTTGGAACAACAATATCTACATAGGGAAGAAAAGAATCTTAACCCCCACCTCACAGCATGCAAAGAAATCAATTTGAAGTGTATCATAAACTTAAAAGCTAAAACCATAAAGCTACTAGAAGTATAGGACAATAATTCTTCATTGTCTTATGAAGAAGAATAAAAATTTATTAGAGTTTGTAGGGATCACAAACCATTTTAAAAATTGATAAATTAGACCTTACCAAATATAAAATCTTTTGCTCGTTAGAAGATACTATTAAGAAACAGACAAACCACTATCTGAAAGAAAATATTTGCAAAACATGTCTGACAGAGGACAGAATATATAAAGAATTCCTGCACCTCAGCAATCAAAAGACAACCCTTTTTTTTAAAACGAGCAAAAGACTTGAACAGATATTCCACAAAGAAGATATACCAATGGCCAATAAGCACATGAAAATGTGCTTGATATCATTAATCATCAGGAAAATGCCAATGATACCACGATATACCCACCAGAATGGCTACAGTGAAAAAGTTGGATGATACCAAATGTTGGAGAGGATGTAGAGCAACCAGAAATCTCACCCTGTTGTTGGCAGGCCTATAAAATGATACAGCTACTTTGGAAAACTATTTGGCAGTTTCTTAAAGAAGCAAGCATTTATACTATGACCCAGCAATTCTACTTTTTTTTTTTTTTTGCAATTCTACTCTTACATATTTATCCAAGAGAAATGAAAACATTTTCACAAAAAGCTTTGTACAAGAATGTTCATAGCAGTTCAATTCATAATAGCTGGAATAGCCAGCGTAGTTATCAACAGAATAGATAAACAAAATGTGTTATATTCATACAATAGAATTTTCTCAACACAAAAAGGAATAACATTGATATATGCAACGACATGGGTGAATATCAAAAATATTGTGAGTAATAAAAGAAGCCAGACAAAAAAAGTACATACTGTTTTTTTCTATTTATGTGAGATTCTAGAATAGGCAAAACTAACTTATCCATTACTGTAAGTTAATCATCAACTCCTAATCGTAATCAGATAAGGGGTTGTTTCTGGAAATGGAAATATTGAAGGAAGATGAAGAAACTTTCTGGATTGATAGAAATATTTCACATTTCAATGGAGATGTGGGTTGCAGGAGTATACATTTGTCACAATGGATTAAATGAAAAACTTTTTTTTTTTTTTCTTGAAAGAGAATCTCGCTCTGTCACCCAGGCTGGAATGCAGTGGCGCAGTCTCAGCTCACTGCAAGCTCCATCTCCTGGGTTCACGCCATTCTCCTGCCTCAGCCTCCCGAGTAGCTGGGACTACAGGCACTGGCCACCACGCCCGGCTAATTTTTGTATTTTTAGTAGAGACGAGGTTTCACTGTGTTAGCCAGGATGGTCTCGATCTCCTGACCTCGTCACCCGCCCACCTCAGCCTCCCAAAGTGCTGGGGTTACAGGTGTGAGCCACTGCGCCCATCAATGGAATACTTAAGATCTAAGTATTATATCTCAATTAAAACAAAAAGGAACCAAGAATGTTGAATATGTAAGGATTTGATTGAAATAGGAAGTGGCTCCCCAGGGATTTGCAGTGTGTTTCCTGCAATTTTGAAATATTCATAATACACTGTTTTCTCTTTTCCTTCTCCTTTTTCAGTTATTTACTTTCTTTGAGGAGTTATGTTCACATTAATATTCACCCACCCCCAACCAGCCACACACACTCATTTTATTCATTCAGCAAATACTTCTTTTGTTGCTGTACTGTGCCCAATTGGATACTATGGTGGACAAATGATTCCTGCCCTCATGGAACTAACAGTGCAGTGACAGAGAGAAACATTAAATAAATAATCACACTACTAAACCTAACTACAAATTATTATGTGCAGTGGAGGATAAATGCAGAGAGCTGTGGAAGTGTAGAGCAGGTGCCTGATCTGTTCTGGAGAGTAAGGGATAGCTTCTGTGAGAAGGTGTTACTTGAGTTGGGATCTGAAAATAGGTAGAATAGAATTCAGTTTCCTGGAAATTGAAAAGGAACTGAAAACCAAAGCAGGCCAAGAGCTACTGTTGCTGTCACTGCTGCTGCCACCCCTGCCCTGTGCTTGGATGTCAATTGTCAGGAACTTCTGTGGGGCAAAACCTCGGTTACGTGCAAAATGAAGAGTTGAAAATGAGGCTCTCACATTAAGGTAGGCCCCTTGAAGCATTATACCCTTGGTGAATATGTTGTATAAAAGATAACTAGGCTAGGCACAGTGGCTCACTCCTATAATCCCAGCACTTTGAGAGGCTGAGGCGGGTGGATCACTTGAGAT